AACTCCCGAATTGGATACAAGGTAGCACTCCAAACTCCTGAATTGGAACCTCACGAATAGCTGCTAGCAGACGAACAGGAAAAGCACCCAAGTGGCTTACACTCCTGGCAATCAGTCTCTAACAGCATAAAGTAAATCCCCCCAAAGACGAGACAGACCTCCGTGTTGAGGGTCAAGCAGTGGTCTGGTTTATTCAGGGCTACCTGCCCAGTGTTTATTCAGGTCTCCCCCCTGGTGGACACTCCCCTAGGGGACCAGATGGGAGACTGTGACAAGCAACAGACATGAACCAATGACAGACACAAAGAAGTAAAACACCCCCACAATGCATCCTAATTCCCTCCCCTCTATCCTGGATATAATTGGGAAGTAATCCAATTATCTCCCAGGATGGAGGCAAAACTCCATTATACACGTGGGGACACAGAGACAATAAAATACATTAAAACATATAATATTACATTTACTACACCAACCCCATACATGTCACATATCCCCAGATAGCTTAGATCTGAGCTCACATAACTACCGAATAGTGCTCAGATCACACACATACAGTTCAATTGCCATGGAGCCAAAGTCTTTAATTACACGAATAGGCTCCATGGCATAGCTATCTGGGTTAAAACATTCACTTAGAAAAAGTCCCGATTAATCCAGCGTTCGTCTAAACAGCCACGAATAGAAGCAGGGAAGGCTGGAGGCTCAGCAGTGCCTGCACGTAAAAGTGTCCGCTTTTAGTGCACTGATTCTGAGCTGAGCACTGCTGGCCGTCTGGGAAGCTCCATAACACTGCCACCTAGCGGCCACCCAGTAACAGTCAATTAAGCTGCGGTTAACCGCAGCTACTGGGTGGTCAATTGACTGCACACTCCAGCTTCTGGGCGGCCAATTAACAGCGCCTGCTGGCTCCCCATGGCTCTGGGGAGGCTAATAGAAGGCGGTTTGTGCGGTAGACTAAATCTACCAAACGGCTATGCAGAAAGGCATGAATAAACCTTTCTGCACAGTAAAATTAACTGTTTAACTGCCGGTCCATAATCCAAAGGCAGCAGGCAGGCAACTAGGCTCCTCCAGTGCAATGTGGCGAGATTGGTCTCGTCACAGCTCTCAACTCTGCTGTGAGTTCCTCTGTAAAGCTCTTATCATGTTGCAGGGAGTCATTTATTTTCCAAGGGCTACAGTGTCTGAAGTCGTTATTGTCCTTAAGCTCTAGTAGCACTGGTGCGTGGTCCGACCATGTTATTTGGCCGATGTCACATGATTGTAACTGGTTCAGATGGGGGCCCGATATTAGGAGGCCGTCTATCCTGGAGTAGGAGTTGTGCACTGATGAGTAATGTGTGTATGCTCTTTCGCTAGGGTGTGTGATTCTCCATGTGTCATAAAAGTGATACGTGTGTAGGAGTTTTTGTATGGCTTTGCATTGTCTTTTCAAGGGGCGGTGTCTGCAGCTGTGTTGGGGCAGTGTAGTGTCGAGTTTAGGGTCTAGTACGTGGTTAAAGTCCCCACAGAGTACTGTAATGCCTTGTTGTATATTCGCTATTTTGTGTAGGAAATTTCTTTGGTTAGTGTTGGGCGAGTATATGTGCTATTGTGTATAACATGTCGTTCATCGTGCCTGTCACAATGACATATCTGCTGTTAGTGTCTATGTCTTGGGAATGGAGGGAGAATTTGACCTCCCTGCTTATTTGGATGGCAGCTCCTTTCGATTTCGTGCGAGAGGTGGAGTGGAATTGGTGTGGGAAGTCACCAAGCAGTGTCTTGGGAAAGTCGTCTGTCCGGTAGTAGGTCTCTTGTAGGCAAAGGATGTCAGTGCGTGCGGCCCTGAGGTCTCGGGTGAGAAGGTGCCTCTTTGCAGGAATGTTCAGTCCCCTCACCTTATATGTACATATCTTCACGGTGGTTGTCGTGTGCAAATTTCTCATTGAATTACATACTGATGTGAGGGCCCCTGCTCTTCTCAGCTGCGTCAAGCCGAGCAGTGGGTTCCTCAGTGCTCTTTTAGATTGTCCCCTGAGTGTGGTGGGAGGGTGTGGACATTGTCTAGTGTTTTCTTTTTGTAGCTTGCTGTATATGAGTGGTATGGGGCCACCCACGTGCCCCGTTGTGTGTTCTACAACATCTTTACAATAAACATAACATTTGATAACAAAAAACATTCTCTAAAGAAAGTATTTAACTATTACTATGTGTGCCACAAGTATGGCTAGGCACTGCTTGTATGTGCCGTGGGAGTTGAGATTATTGCCTAACGTCCTGGGGGAGCTCCCTCCCTCGAGTGCTTCCTAAGTATTGTCTGATTATTTTAATCCCTATATTTTAGTCTCTCTCTTCATAGCCTACTGGCTCCTCTCGTGGGCTTTGGTACCCTTAAGTTAATTAAGCCCTGGTTCAGAGTTTATTTTTTTATTTTTTTTATTTATTTTTTTTTCCCGTGTGTACTCGTTCCATGGGCCTAGGGGTTTTTCCTGTCTTGTCCCTTTTTCCCCAGGATCCTCCTGATTTTCCCCTCCTGCCGCTCCCGCTGGAGCCCTATATCTTGGGTTGTTCTTTTAAGTGACTTTATGCGAGTTTTGCATGGTGATGTGGTATTCGGGGTGGTAGGTCCCACCATTGATTAAGGCCACCTAAGGAAGGGGTCTCTCTTATGGTTCACTTATTATCCTCTAGGTCCCTGTTTCCCATAATATCCCTCGGTACATTTTTACACACTCCCTCCCATTATCATAACGGTACATTACCCAACCAGTGTTTCAAAGTCCATCTTTATAGATCTGCTGTTTTAGGGCTTTTTGTCTTGGTAGCTTGTGTTTGATAGCGTCTCTTTTATCTTTTTTTTCATTTTTTTTCAATTCTGTCCACCTCGTTGTCTGCGTTCAGGTTGGGTGGTGGTACAATGTCCCAGGATTTCAAAATCTGTTCCCCTTCTTCTGGTGTGGCAGTCACCGTCGTCTTTCCTCTCCTCGTTACCAATATTTTTGTGGGGTAGCCCCAGCAGTACAGCAGTCTGTGGTCCCGCAGTGCTGTTGTGATGGATCTAAAGTCTCTCCTCTTCTTGAGGGTATAGGCTGAGATGTCCGCAAATATTGTGTGGCTTTTATATTCTGCTGGTAGCTGTTTTCTTGATCTGTTCACCGACAGAATTGCCTCTTTGGCATGAAAGTAGTGGAGTCGTAGGAGCACATCACGCAGCGTTTCTGGAGGTAGGAATTGGGGCCGCGCCGTGCGGTGGATCCTGTCTAAGAGGAGCGTTTCCACGGGCAGGTCAGGAGCCAGATGCCTAAATAGTGAGATAATATTTGTTACAATATCCCAGTGAGTAATACCAATGATAATCGATACTTCTACACCTTTGTGAGTATTCCCTTACACCTCACGATAAACATAAATATACATACAATACAAGGTGGAGTATCTTTCTTTCTTATAAAAGTGAATACAGTTCCTGGACCAGTGTTTTCCTAGGAAAAATATAAGCAAACACACAATAGTGCAATCTAGCCAATTTTGAAAAGTAAAGTGCAATAGTAGATAGAAAAGCACTCACAAGTGTAGAGCCACTATGTATGGCTCAAATTTCCAGCTTTGTGGGATATAGAGGTACTCACTTCCTTCTTTATACTGATAGGAGATCTCAAGCAATTTGGATGTCCTCACAATCGATTAAGTAGTAAAGTGCTTTATTGAAAAGTGCACACAAGTTAAAAAATATATGAAATGAAATAAAAAAACCTTACAATTTTGAAGGTAAGTCCTTTTGATAAAAGTCTTTCAAGTGCAAAATGCGTTTCGCCTCATTCAGAGGCTTCCTCAGTTGCTGCTGTATCATGTCCGTGGACTCCTTTTAAATGATTCTTGGTTGGCGGTATTTCTCCCTCCTTCCATTTTCGGCTGTTGAGTTTCTACTTCCGCTTACGGTTTTTGAGTTCCAGCCGTGGAACGCATTCATCACATGATGCATATTGGAACGCATCCTTGCGTTCCATTGCACTGATTGGCTGCTAGTAAGGTACTTCAAACGTATATGGCATTGGAAAAGTTCTTAATTTCATGCATTCAAAACATTAAAAAGCAGGAGACATATATAAATATGACAGGCATATAATGAGCTTTTTTTCTCCCAAGACAGTACATAATACATTTCTACCAATTATAAGGGGGAAGGTATTTATATCAAGGAGTAATTCATATAATTACTAAATTACTTAATTTAAAGGCACAGTGCCTTAAGATAATACCATCTTATTAGGGAAAACTAAGAGAGGAACAATATGTACTCTAAATATTCTAAAAACATAGTTATAATATGATAAACTCTAAAAGAAAATTTGGGACTATAAAAAATTATCTAAAATATATGACCAGTATAGAGTTATTTTTAAGTAAAAGTTTAAACTAAAAACTAGAGGGGATGGATGGTTTTATTAAAACTTTTACAAATAGGGTAATAAAAATAAATGAAATTGTTGTATAAAAAGGGACAACCACTATTTATGAATAAAATAATCTTTAAAAGTGGCAGACCTCAAAGTCAGAATTTAAACCATAGGGGATAAGGGTTTTAAAATGAAAAATAAAACTCATTTCTTTTTTCCCTAGTGTTTTAATATAGTTTCCTCCTCTCCAATCCCTTTTCACCTCTTTTATTGCACAAAAAAACAAGTTTTCAGCATTTTGATGGTGGACTTGTTTAAAATGTAACGAAACTATGCGTTTTTAAATCGTTTTTTATATTCCTTATATGTTCAGCAATTCTAACTTTTAAAGGTCGAATGGTTCTGCCTATGTAAAGTAAATTGCATGGGCATTTTAAAATATATATAATGCCCTTTGTATGGCAGGTTAGATGATATTTATTAATATACGGTTTCTTAATAGTGATGTCCCGAACAGTTCGCTGAATGGTTCTCCGCGGACGGCGAACATATGCGATGTTCGGTCCGCCCCCTATTCATCATCATTGAGTAAACTTTGACCCTGTACCTCACAGTCAGCAGACACATTCCAGCCAATCAGCAGCAGACCCTCCCTCCCAGACCCTCCAACCTCCTGGACAGCTCACTAAGAATGCAGTTTCACAATGAATGTAAAATGGATGCTGTCCAGGAGGTGGGAGGGTCTGGGAGGGAGGGTCTGCTGCTGATTGGCTGGAATGTGTCTGCTGACTGTGAGGTACAGGGTCAAAGTTTACTCAATGATGACATAGGGGGCGGACCGAACAGCGCATATGGTCGCCGTCCATGACGAACCGTTCGGCGAACCGTTCGGGACATCACTATTTCTTAATTATGTTTTCTATGTTCTCTAGATGTCTCTTTTTGCTTTTTGTTGTTTTGCAAGGGAAATCCTTTTAAATCTTTAATGAGAGGTCTAGGTTTTTTAGGGGTTAGGTAACTTTTTACTAAGATGCTTTTAAAATTCCTGGCTCCTCTATATGTAATTTTTGGTTTTGGCGGTAGGATCTTATTTAAAATAGGGTCATCTTTTAACAAATGCCAATGGAAAGCTGGAAATTTGAGCCTCACATAGTAGCTCTACGATTGTGAGTGCTTTGCTATCTACTATTGCACTTTACTTTTCAAAATTGGCTATATTGCACTATTGTGCGTTTGCTTATATTTTTCCTAGGAAAACACAGATGCCTCAATAGGCCTGTGACATGCCCCCTATACGCAGGTTATTCATGGTCTTCCATGTCTGCTATCTTGATGTCTTGGGCGATCACTCTCACGGTCAGCCCCTCCATTTTGTCCGCCAGAATATTGTGATCATCCGAAATTTCCTCCATTTTGTCCTCTATATGGGACGTTCTGTTTCCCAGGTCCTGCATGTCTTTTCTGAGATCCCTCAGAGCAGTGTCCAATTTGTGGAGAATTTTCTCTGACATCTCGTCTAGTAGACTTTACATCATACTGTGAGTAAGTGTAGATCTCCCTCTGGGGGCTGTGTAGCTGCCTCGTGGTCACTCTCAGCGCCATCTTGGGCCAGTTCTTGGGCCTGTTCAGTTCTTGCCGTGGCCGGCTCTGGACGCAAAGAAATTTGTTTTTTCACTCTTCTCTGCCGCTCTCTTGCCCTTAGGCTGTGACATACTGGTGCTGGATGGCGTTTTCTGTCCGTTTTTTCCGGGGTTAATTGCTCATATGAAGCTGTCTCGAGCGGAGCTCTCGCACATGCGACTGATGCGATCAGTGTCCAGGACACGCCCCCCTGTATATGCATTTTAATGTTTATATTGATCCTGTATCTTCCTTGCCTCATAATTAAAATCTTACATTCTCCTTATTCACTTTGTAGTCAGTCTTTGCACTTTTTCCTTGGTATAGATTCCTCCTTAACCACTGAATAGCTTAGTGGTAACGTGGCTAACTAGTTTATTTGTTTTGGGAACATTGGTGGAAATAGGGACACCTACCCTTAAACCTCATTTTCCCTACTTTTAACATCATTAATTGAGTGGACGTGTGAAGTGTACACTGGAAAAGCAGACAGAACCTGTAAGACCCTGCTCCCTACTCTGGGATGGTGCTGGGGGACTACCATCAGGAAATTATGGTGCTTGTGGTACTTTCAATGCACCTTTAACTATAAAAGAAGTATGCATGATTGTGCATATAGCACCCTTAAAACAAATTTTACTGAAATAAAACAAGGATTTTTTTATACACTATTTAATGGATTCATGACTAATCTGGTGCCCTTTTCAGTTTAAAATTTTGATTGACAGTGGCAGTCTTAAGGGTAGATAATTTAATAGGTGAAAATTGCATTAGGTTCAAGGAATCAACTATATATTATGTAAGTGTATATAAATTGTGTCTGTTGTTTTCCGAAAGTACTGCATTATCACCTGGCATTTACGAGTAAAATGATGGCGCCATATTTCAGCATTTCAGCAGTAAGTAACAGACAGGCAACATGTCTGCTTTGTTCCAATTTTAGGGCAATAAAGCTATGTTCTCTTTTTGATTCCCATGCCAGTTTTATGTTGCTACCCTGAAACTCACATAAGTATTTTACTTACAAGGTAAACTGCTATTTTACTGTGATTGATAGTTTGGTGAAGTGTTTTTGTCAGAGGTTACCATAACCACATTTGAGTATGAACTTGTTTTTCCCATTGGGGTTTACAAAATGTTAAACTCAAGGCTTTGCTAAACCTTTTGACATCTTCCTGTTTCGCAGCCCCTAGTGATGTAGCTTAGAATTTTACTGAAATTATAAACCTGATAAACACTGTAGCACACCAAATAAAGCAGGCATAAAACTCTAAAACACTACAAACATCTGTTGTTTCTTTCATTTGAACTTGGAAACAAACCCCAATGGATTTAGATCAGATTGGGTATGTGTGCAGTGTGTAGATAATATTGAATCTCTTGAAACTATATTCTTCGATATTTCAGACATGTTATTGCTTTAACGTGATTAATTTAAGCCTTAGGAGGTGCATTTCTTTAAATCTGGCTTATTAACCTACTTTTGAAGAAAACGTGTTGACAAATTATGTTTCTTGTCTCTTATGTTGGATGTTTCAAGTCATCCAATACTAAAATGATTTGCTACCTGTTAAGCAAGGTAGGGATAGCTGATCTGAGTTAGATTTTAGTATATTTGATAATGAACGATGGTAGCCAGCATTGCTTAAATGCTGATTTGTTACACCTGACTTAAAAAATACTGCTAATTACAATAAGCAGAAAGACTACACAGGGGATAGAAAAAATATTAATTAAAAAAAAATTTCAGCATGGAGTTCTTATCCAACAAACAAACACAATATACAGTGACAGTTGGGGAAAATTACAACAAAACAAGTAGCCCTTCGGATTCCCTTGTAAGCAATGGGGAACAGAAGAATAGCTTTAATTCCCTCATTCTGGTTGTGTGAATGGTAAGATTAATGGACATCTCCTTCTAAATCACTTGTAAAACAATGGACAAGTGGATCCAACTGAAGTTCTAAGGGGGTCCTGGGTCTTAATTCATAAGTTTTATTTATAAATTTAATTTATTAGCTTCAATCCCCCAGCCTAGTGGATGAGAAAATAAGCAGATGAATTGCACACATTCTACTAAAATATATTTTAACCCTCCATACGTTTACATGGATTGATGGTAAATGTAGGACCATGTGTCACACTCCACCTAGTTTAAAAGTGGTCCAATATTTTCTAAGATAAATCCACATTTGTTGTGTTTGCTGTGGGATTATGGTGCTTGAAACGTTCCTTAAAGTTGATCTAATTTAAGATAAATTTTAAGTGTTTGATTAATGAACAACCATAATAGTATTAGTGGCATTAATAGATGTGTTTTACTCTGGCCAGTTTGGAGTCAAACTTAACAACTACCAATAAAGTGTCTCTGTCACATTGTGGTTTTTGCTTTTGAAATAATTATTTTTTGTCCTATTTTCTCTTGTTTTTTTTTTTCTTCAGTTTTAATTCCACTTTTTTCAGTTAAATATAAGAAAAGATATGGACATCAGTTTCTTATTGGGAGCATGATCTTTGGCAACTGTTGGCTGTGAGTGGCACCTAAGCAAATTCCATTTCAGTTGCCAAGATATACCCACAATCTATCAAACAATAGAATCTCACAGGAAGGCAAATTGCAGACATTATGGACAGAGGAGAGCAAAATGAAGGCACCAATGAGATCCAGCTCACATTATGGACAGAGGAGAGCAAAATGAAGGCACCAATGAGATCCAGCTCACATCATGGACAGAGGAGAGCAAAATGAAGGCACCAATGAGATCCAGCTCACATTATGGTCAGAGGAGAGCAAAATGAAGACACCAATGAGATCCAGCTCACATTATGGACAGAGGAGAGCAAAATGAAGGCACCAATGAGATCCAGCTCAAGGAAGAAAAGATAAATATAAATAAAGACAAGTGACAAAGAGGGGAGCATAATCATTAAGATACAAAAGAGCCATTTTAAGTTGATTGCAAAGGTTCAAATCAGGATAACTGTATCCATTGTGAATTGATGCTTTTTCATTGTTAGCCACTTGTTCATAAACTAAGATTGGTATGCTTTGGGTAGACATTGGATTACCAGCATCCATGCTTATGAGTTGTTCTTATTTTTGTGAATTTTAGTAACCATGAGTTTCTTATTTTCAGAACTAAAACAGTTTAAATACAGTGTATATAAAATATGTTTTCTTTGAGCACCTAGGATATTTTCCTTAAGAGTGCATTCAAAAATCTTTATATAGCTAGTACGGCTCTGTGAAATGAATTCCATTAAATATTTATTCATTTATATACTTTCATAATTTATGCACAAGATAAAATATGTACTGCAAGAGCACTCTTATAGAACTTACAGTTACTTTCTAGATAACGTATTCTGTCATTTACTTATTCTCCTATTGTTGCTGGGTAATGGAATTCTACATTTTTTACATTTTGTTTCCATAAATACATTGACAGGGTGACACACCATAAATATATCATAGCCTTTTTATGTGTATATTTATACCACATGATACATTTTTCAACCTTGCCGTCATACACTCCTGTTTATTAATTTTCTCATTACGGATTCAGATTGTGCTATGCTAAATCTAAATTTCTGTATGTCTTCAATCTTAGTTTATGAACTTGAAATCTATTGAGCATAAACCTTGACATTATATTCTGTAGGTCTTCAATATGTCTGACACAGCTCAGTTTACTATGACACATGAAAACACAGGTGGGCCATCACAAATCTTACACGTAGGTAGGATGCTCACAGATCTTGAAACAATATCAGTGCCTGTCATGGATAAATTATATAGCACTAATGAAAGTGCATACAAATAATCTATATATTGAATTAGTGAAACTGCTAGTAAATGTATAAATTTTCTTAACATCATCTTTAAAGGTTCCTCCCGTCACCTGTCAATTAATGTAGAAACATAGAAACATAGAATGTGACAGCAGATAAGAACCATTTGGCCCATCTAGTCTGCCCAATTTTCTAAATACTTTCATTAGTCCCTGGCCTTATCTTATAGTTAGGATAGCCTTATGCGTATCCCACGCATGCCTAAACTCCTTTACTGTGTTAACCTCTACCACTTCAGCTGGAAGGCTATTCCGTGCATCCACTACCCTCTCAGTAAAGTAATACTTCTTGATATTATTTTTAAACCTTTGCCC